CATACATGCTGGAAAGTTGTTGCAGCATCTTTTACATGGTCCCAGCCTCGGTAAAAAACTCTGCGATAGTCGTAGAAAAGTAACTTTAATTACTGCGCTAAGTAGCATGGCCCCTAAAAGCTCGCATTTGCAGCGCTCACCAAATGAACGCATGGAATTAATACCATGGTTCCAGAGAAAATCAAATGCCAGCAATCTGTGTGGCAATCAAGTATTCTACTACACAGCCGTGCCAGGTCCCGAACTATCAAGTAGACTGTAATGTTCGTGAAACGTCAGTAGTGGTTACAGTGCTGGCTGTCCAATATTATAACAGTACGACCGTACTCTTTTCATACAGCCGTCACGTTGAGTTAACGACAATTGCAGTGAAGCGCCATCAATTGAAGGTCACTTACCTAGCAGTGTTCATGGCTGTCATCCTCACTGACAGAAGCGCTGCATATCAGCTTGCCGCTTCTGGTGTCCAATACCCTTGTTACTGTTGGCATTGTTATGCAACTATAAGCATTTGGGCTGTTTAACATATGCCTGAGCGTACAGCATTTGTACATATATTTAGCGTCAATTCGTAACGTTTCGTTCAATAAAAATATTACAACAAACAACATGGTCACTTTCCTTTCACATGCTTCAAATGACATCGATTCCCAAGGTGCGTGGGATCTGCTGAAATTTTCCTTTTCTTCGCTTTTCCAGTCATTGGCTTTCCTCTATTCCCATAGCCATCTAGTCCTTCGGAGAACGAGTAAACTACTTCTCTTTGGCGCCACAGCGTCCTACGCTGGCATTCGCGAAGATAGGACAGCCCTAAACTTCTCCACGCTTAGAAATAGCCGAGCTTAGAATATCCACACTTAACTTTCGTAACTAATAGCAACAACTTTTCTTTATTAGTAATGCTGTATAACGCAAGCAGGCTTAGGAGTTCTGTAATGCAGCAGTTGAATAGTATAGATATAGACTCTGCATCTACGTGCCGTACTGAACTAACGTGACTTAAGAGACTGTTGAGGCGAGCTCGTGTGTACGGATTCATTAGAAACACGGCGCTTAACGAACGCATGAGACTAGAACAACGACTTGCACCAACAGCTGGTTTATTGTGCGTCAACATATATAAAGCGGTCAAAAAAAATAAAGGAAGCAATCAGGAAAGAGAAACATGATGATGACATTGATGCTACCACTTAATGGCCGAGATACCGGAATTTCTTGTCAGTTAAGGAAAAAAGAAGGCCCGTATTCACAAACGCTCCTCCACTCGACCCTTCACTCGAAACGCTCCTTAAGTGGCGTTTTCCTATTCACAAACAGCCCTTCACTTGAAACGCTTCCTTCACTTGAAAAAATCTTGAGCGTTTCCTCGAGATTGTCAAGGAAGCGATCGAGCTACCTTGAATCGTCCCTGGAGTGAAATATTTGCGCCAGCATCGCGTCCATGACGGAGCCCGTCTCACTTTGACGGCGTTTCTCGATCAAGTAGGCTGCCACCGCCGCGTTCTTTCGACAATGACGGTGCGCGTTTACTACGGAGCTGTCTTCGAACGGTTCAGCAACGGCTACTGTGGCGCCGGGACAAGCGGGCGTGGTGTCAAAAGGAACACTCACCAGTGCCGTGATGTGTTGCGTTCCGTGCATGAGCCAGTGGATTACCTGCCTTCGGGTGTGCGTATACCCTTCGTGCGAGTGCTCCATGACTTACTGTGGATTCCAGTGCTTTGAAGAGTTTTGATGAAGCTCGCACACCGCATCAGTTCAAGCGTGGTGCGAAAGCTTGACAAGCAAGCAGCATAGCAAACTTTTGATGCACTGGGTTCACCGTACTTTAAAGTGGCTTCCTCTCCAGTGAACCTTTGCTGCCCAAGCCGAAATTTACGACGAAGCACACCTTCGTTAGACGACCATCTGTACCAATGAGAAGGTAAGATCTCCTGTGTTTTTTTTTATTTTTTCCTGATTCGGTCAGATTACTATTGAAGACAGTTTAAGAAAAGCACAACACAATACGTTGGGCGCAATCAGTGTGCTGCTGTAGCTACTACGCGTGAAACATGGCTTCTTTATACAGTGTCTATGCAGCTCACAATACCAATGAACAACCAAGTACACATTTAGGGGATCAAGCAGATGATCATGTTCTGTGCAACCTGCATGTACGCAAAAGTGCGTCGAGTGTCGTATGAAAACGCAAACATATGAATTATAAATACAGCAGATACATAATGATTGTTTTTTTTTAATTTAACCCCATTCCTACCCCCCGAAGAAGAATTTCTGGCTATGGAACTGATTCGTGCAATTAGATAATGAAATTATATACCCATATGCCTGGTCAGCTGCCCAAGTGCCTGAGCCAAACATGTGTCAAAATAGTCAAAGCTCAATACTTCAACCATGTCTGTTCTTGAACGCGAGACATACTAATGAATGTGCGCACAGCTAGAATTAAAGAAAAATGCGGCTTTTGTATCCAAGCTATTACGTTTTTCTAATATTATTTCTTGTCTCTTTTGTGCAGGGGACCAGCTGCCGACAGAAGAACACAGAGAAAAGGCCTTCTAGAATCTGCTGTATTATCAATGCATTGCAGAGTTTGTACGACTGTATACAAAAGCACAAAAAGAGCAGTGAATGCGGGCAGCTACACTGCATTAGGTGCGCTATGGTGTCTACTTCCTTAATCTTATTTATGATGTCCTCCGAGCTCGTACTTTATCTTTACAGTGTGTAGGTTGCATATGTTTGATTGATGAACACTTTTCATTTGCATTCTTATGTTTGCCACGTTGCTCCTCATCAGCCACATGTAATAAAGATCCATTTGCCATTCACAACTTCTGTTTTGTTCATTTATCAATACATAATTATTGTGGTGTTTGTCTTTTCATGATGAAACAGGACTGCAAAAACCACTTCTCCGATTCTACAGGAAAGCAGTTCTAGGAAAATTAAACTTGTTTTATATAAAGCAGCACCACTCCTCTTCCACGGAACTGAGATGGCGTGGTTCTAACTGGTAGACTTGCTAATGATGCAGCAATAGCGGATATTTTATTTACAGGGTTCTGACCAGATGTATCCGCGATGACTGCAATACCCTTGAGCATTTTTCACCGCTTTGTTGCACTGGTCTTCAATAAATCAGCAGAATAATATACGCTACTCTTGACGACACTTTCTCGAAGGTTGAGAGAACCCACAGGATAGTTTTTAAAACAGAACAGCGCCAAAAGTCAGACGCGGCTTCAATTTTATGATTTCCAAAAAAAATAAAACATCCCCTATAATTTATGTTGTACCGGGGCTTTGGAATGCAGCACAGATACCACGATCCTTTTCAACAGGTATTTCTAGTAGTTATATTGCAAATAAAATCCAAAACATTAGTGCGAAGGTCATTCATGCACTAACGATTGGGCTTCTGAGCATGCTGATGAAGGAGACGGGAAAAAAATTTAAGACGTTGCCGCTGTGTGAACTTGGAGACGGAAGCTACACAAATTTAAAGGTTACTTCTATGCGAATCTGTCAAATTAGACGCATCCACAAATGCAGGGCAAATAGAAAAACAATGCAAAAAGAATAACTTATTCCTTGGAAGTTTAAAATGTTAAAGTTGACACGCACACACATTAGTCCCTGTTAACCGACTATATATGTTACGTAATGAAGAAAACAACTTTAAAATGTATTTTTCGCCAATAGTGAAAGAAAGGCACACGATCGCTTTTCTTAACTTGCGTAGCAGTCTAATTCGAACGCTCAGCCACGAGTATAACATGCCTGGTTTTTAACGCTACCCTGGTATAAGCTGGAATATCAGTTGCGAGCAATGTCTTTCAAATTTCTTATTATACGCAGAGGAACAACTACGAAAGCGCCACGGTGAAATTCGCAGTAAATGAGAAAAATAAACATTGCACAGGCCCCTGAAATTAGGAACTGTGCACGTACTCCCGTAGCGAGAACGAATTTACGTACGAGTAATCCTTATACATAATGCGGTGGTGAATGCTAAAAGCACGCCAACATACTGTGATATATAGTAAAAAATACTCATTCCACCGCGTTATACATTCGGTGGCTACATTAGTGATCAGAAGGCTCTCAGTAAAGCGAAAGTAAACAAAGCAACAAACCATCTATTGCGCTTCCTGTCATCACTCACGTAGTTCGTTAGTCACCCCGGCGAAAGTATGCTATCAAACGACACACACGCAGACACTACCATAAATATAAACTGCAAATAATAGACACATACAAGACAAAATAAACTAAGCAGGTAGACACGTTCAGCAGCAGACGAAATGCCATCAGCTGTTCGTTCAGCTGCCTGGGTTTGACTGTTGCCAGACTTGAAGGAGGGTTTCGCTAACTCTATCAGCACAAGGCTTAGGGAAACAACACTACCACTCTAAATGCACGTATTTTGCTGTAATGTCAATTTAGAAAAAAGAATAACTAGAAAAGGCATTCTCTTAATGTACATAGATAGGCAATTCTTAACCACAATTGCGAATACTCTCGTTATCAGGCGCTTTTCTCGGCGCATGCAGTTCACTCAAGTGAAGGGAGCATTTCCAAGGCCTCCCTTGGCGAAGGAAGTGTGGAGGAGCGTTCATGAAACGCAGCGGCCCCTTGAGTGGAGGAGCACGCTCCACCTTGACTTCGTCAAGTCGAGGGGAGCCCTTGAGTGAAGGAGTGTTTGTGAATACGGGCCTAAGTGTTGCACAGATATAAGGACACTCACAGTGTGGTACGTGAAATTTTTGAAATGTTCGCGATGATGTGCAAAGGCATTGAGTGCTCCTTCACTTTAAATGACAAGGCATATCTTGGAAAATAACAGGAAGCAACTATGTATAATGCCATGTTCACGTTTTGGCAGTCCGCGCAAATGCTCGTTCTTATCTCATGCGTTCCTTCAGCGCTACGTTTCTAATGATACTGAATCGATTTGATGCCCCTGAAAAAATTTGATGTAAAGTTCGCATGCGTTACGATTCAATGGCAGCTTTTAATAACTGATCAGCACAGCGTCATGACAGTGGAGCTTTGGTGTCAGGAGTTAAAACGTGAGTGTTCAGGAAATGTTTTTGAAGGAGTTCGCACACAGTAGTTGTAGCAGCTGTACGTATGAAATGCAGCAGTGACATTGTACACTTATGTCGAGGCATGCAAATGCTCGGATAGGCGCGATGACGTATGAAGTTTCGCACATGGCAGTCACGTGAGGACATTCCGCGCGCAAGACGCGCGCGCTGGCAAGGGGACTGGAAGTGGCGCCGCTATCACGCCACGTTCTTGACTTCGTGACTTCAAACTCTGACTATGGACTTTCGTCCGCGTCATGTAGTGGCATGCTACATGATGCCTTCGTGTGTGGCATACGAATGGTCAGGCGTTCGTAGCAATCACTCTCCTGGCAGACATTGCTCGTAAGGTGGTGGCCCCGATTCCTGCACGATGTACTCATCGTACGGAGGAGGCTTGGAGTTTCGCACGGTAAGCATGACGTTTAGGGATGCATCGTCAGTGCTTGTAAGCTGGTAGCTGCCATAGGACGGCGTCATCTCTTGGCAAGCGTCCATCGTTGTTCCGTACGACCTGCACAGCATCGATCGACGCGTATCGGAGGGTAGCGTTCCTGAAACGACGCAAGCCACGTAATAATGAGACCCAAAATGGCCCGCAAATATTTTAAGTGCGAATCATTTCTAAGCAAAATTTGGCGACTTTGAGCATATCTATCTATCTATCTATCTATCTATCTATCTATCTATCTATCTATCTATCTATCTATCTATCTATCTATCTATCTATCCGCTTATGTTTGGGTGCTCTCGTGGCCATCCCCTTAAGATGGCATGAACCAAAGTTAGCATGGCAGGGTAAGATGATTTGACCAATATGACGCACTGGTCAAGACATGAATAATGTCACAAGGGCCTGTCGCGTACATCGTCAAACACTTCCAGCCAGACAGTAGCACATACCCTCGGGCGTGTATGTGCCGCTGGTGTGCGGGTAAGGGCCACAGGTGACTGACACTTCGTATCTGCCCAGGAGCTACGAGAACACACATGGGCAATTTGAACGCCTGAGCGTTAAGCAATACCCGACATCCTTAGCGTCGACCCAACGAAGGCATAAAATGGGTATCAGTGTTAAGAAAAACCTGACATAGGCAGCGTTGACCCCCAGACGAACGCAAATATTAAGTTTCAGGGTCCCAGCAGGAATCGAACCCAAGCATTCCGCATGGTAGTCAAGCGTTCTACCACAAAGCTTCGTCAGGTCTGGGAACTATTTTTCAAATAGACACTAATCAACAGTGGTTGTATTGCTGCCAACCCAATTTTATAAGCATTACATATGTACTCCTTTGATACAACCGTCACGTCGGGTTAACGTCAATTGGAGTTAGGTGCCATGCGCTGAAGCTGATTTATGTAGCAGAGTCCAGGGCCAGCATCTTCGCGAGCATCAGCGCTTCATATGAGCTTCTGGTGTTGCTAATACGCATGTGCCAGTTGACATCGTTGCGCAAGTGCAAACAACTGGTTATATAAACATCTGCAACTCTTCAACATATGTATTTGCGTGCAACATTTGTACATATGTTTAGCTTCATTTCATGACGTGTCACTCCATTAAAAAAATTGCAACACAGTCACCTTCCCTTCGCATAACGTCGAACAAAATATGGCGAACGTCTAGCAGTACAGAACATTGCAATTGTGACATGCGTGTAATGAAAAACATGATTACATTCTACGCTTATAGCCCGCTGGCGGCCGTTTCGCTAACTTCACTTATATCAAAATTGGTATCACGTGACGCGAACAGACGACGAAGGTAAGTGACACGTCCAAACATAATAACCATGACATGTGTGTCGTGTAGAACATGACTACATGCTACGCTCATAGCGCGCTCGCGGCCGTTTCGCTAGCTTCTTATATACCTAATTTGGTATTACGGGACGTTATAGGATGAAAAACAAAAATGACAGGCCCAAACATAATAATAATGACATAGAAGCCATATATGGCATAATTTACGGCCACCTCGTAACGTTGTGGTAATTTTAAAGTGACATATCAACCTTCCTAATACGTGCTTCACATATTATTGATTCCCACTGTATACGTGGAATCTGCCTTTTTTTTCACCTCTCTTTTTTCGCGGGGCCCGCTCGGATCACTATGTATACGATGTAGTAATCACTGCCTAGATTTACGTTCGTGTTGGCCCAACGGGGGTCAAGTATGTTCTTTATGAATGTCAGGTGTGGTGTAGTGTCTCTGCTGACGCTATTTCCCATCCAGGTTGAATCGTGTGGATTGGTCACCATTCAGCGTGAGCCCCTCGTGTTGCGCGTCGTTCCACAGGTTGCGGCCTTTAACGTTCCTAATGGTGTAACCACAGGCGGCGTGTGGTGCGTTAAAGTATCCCACGATGATCAGTGCCTGTCTGCCCGCGACGTTTCGCACTTTGCGGAAAAGTGAGCCAAACTTCACCTTCTGTCGTGGTGGGCTGTATACGCTCCACACAAACAAGCTTTCCTCCTTTTTTCGAGAGGGGATGATTTCTAGTAGGACGTTGTCTATGTTTTATACGCCGGTGTCGTTTTCTGCAGCCGTGATATTTTGGCCTATCAGTGTGGTCACTGCTGCTGTTTCACCTAGTAGTAGTAATAGACTTTTATTCAGCCACCTATAGTGCTGTATGATATCTACCCGGATAAACGCTCCCTCCCGTTTCCAGGAGGGCGATTACATCTGGTGCTTGCTTCGTTTTATTGTGATAGCAATTATATGGCAACTCTCAGCTGGATTTCGCCGTCAGTGTGGGTGTCGATGTCATGCCCCGTATATGTATACGTATCTATATATATGAAAACGCAATAAAGACAAAAATCCAGAAAAAAAAACTCTGGCGCGTGGAATCGAACGTGGGACCTCCACGTCGTGAAAGCGACGCGTTAACCACTGAACCACTGAGAGGTTTTTTTAGAGGTACCTTCTTCAACGTTCGAACGGCAAGCTATTTATATAATAATAATAATAATAATAATAATAATAATAATAATAATAATAATAATAATAATAATAATAATAATAATAATAATAATAATAATAATACGTTTACTTCATCACCATTGTGTACATGATGACAGGGGCCCGCAGTAAAAGCTGCAAAATCCGAAAATCAAAAAACAGCTTGACTGAGCTGCTGACCCCTTCGGGGTCAGCAGCTCACTTCGGTCGTGGGGAAAACGACAGAAACTATGGCGCTCCGGTTCCTCCAGTGGATCGCTTCTGCACTTGATTTCCTCGTCGCTGAACAGTCCGGCTTCACAGCCCTTCGAGCGACAACGGACTCAATCTCGGACGTCGTGAGCCTTCTTGAGCAGGCCAAGCACCACGGGGAGGCGGGATACCTCGTCCTTTTTGACGTCAGAAGTGCTTTCGACTCGCTCCCATACAACACTATCCTTGACGCCCTTCGTGAGATGCGTGTGTGCGGAAACATGCTCCGCTACGTCAAGGCTTTCCTCAGTGGCTGGGGTTTTCGTGTGCGCGTCGCTGGTGAACTCAGCGGGTGTCAGCGGGCCTCGGGCGGTGTCAGCGGCTGTGCAGCAGGGCAGCGTGTTGAGCCTTTTTCTGTTCAACGTAGCTTTCGCACGCCTCATCAACCACATCTCGTGCGGCTCTGCCTTCAAGGTGCGTGCTGTTGCTTACACCGACGACGTTGCGCTTTTCTCAAGTGAACCCACCTTTCGTGGTCGCCAAGTCCACGAGGGACTCCAGGCTGCCATCGATGAAGTAGACGGCTTCATCACGGGCATCGGGCTCCAGCTCCCTGCCGCCAAGACAGAGGCCATGCTCGTCCACCCAAAGCGCTCGGGGCGATTCACTGTCCTGAAGCTCGTCTTTCGCGGCCACCGGCTGCCGTGGAAGCGCAGAGTGCGCTATCTTGGTCTCGCCATCAACCACCGGCTCAGCTGGAGGCCCGCAATGGCGTTCATTCGCAGTGACTTACGAAGGATTGGTGGCCTGGCCTCCTGCGTCCTCGCCCGTGGCAGAGCTGCTTCCCGGACATCGCGCTCCGGTTCTTCAACGCGGTAGCCTCGGCCAGGGTCCTCTACGCGGTCCCGCTCATCGCGCTACGACCCACGCAATGGGACGCACTCGACCCCTTCACCGTGGCGTCGTTCACCACCTGTACGGCCTGCCGCGCTCATCGCCGTTCAGCCCCACACTGGCGGAGGCTGGAGAGGCTTCCTTCTGACTTCGGGCGAGAGGCAGCGAGCTACGCCACATAAATCGCATGTACCTCACGTCCGAGGGTAGACGCTTGGCTATACGACTCCTCGATCACCCGCACTCGGGCATGGAGGCACTGCGCCGTGTCGCCCAAGGGGCTGACAGAAATTAGGTGCCTTCTTCCTCTTTCTAGTGTGGCAAACTTTTCTTCTTCTGGCACGACACACTTGGGACATAAGCTAGTAGTGGGTAGTCTGCTGAGGAGAAAAAAAAAGTAGTTGGAAAGAAGTAGCAAGGGTGGTAGCTAGTTGTCCGTGAACGCTCGAACCTGGTGGAGAGCCCGAGGAGCCCGAAGAGTTGAGATTTGAATCGCATTCCTTGATCGGTTGTGACTCGACGAGGAGTGCCGAAGCATGAAACCCAGCCGGGGAAGAAGGCTGATGCGAGACTTCTGCGGTGATCATTTCGAGCGGCCACACCTCGGGCCAATGAGTGTAACGATCGATGGCGGTGAGGCAATAGCGGTGTGGCATACTTTTCTTCTTCTTCTGGCACGACATACTTGGGACATAAGCTAGTAGTGGGTAGTCTGCTGAGGAAAAAAACAAGAAGCAGTTGGAACAATGGCGGAGATGCATTAATAAACCGCGCTGTGTTTTCGGAACCGCGTTTCAGAGTGCTATATTTATTGGTGACCCGGACTACGAACGCGCAACCTTCCATGGAGCAGTGTGAGCATCTCGACAGCCTGAGCCCTGGTACCGCTGCCACTGCACCCGGCCATGTACCCTCTTCGGGTGTTGTTGGAGGTACTGCTACCATGACGCTACCACAGCTGTGGCTTGCCGATCCCTCGTTATTGTTCATTCAAGTCGAGAACAAGTTCCGCATTCATTGCATCACGTCAGAAGTTCGCAAGCATGAGCTCCTCGTTGAAGCGTTGCCGCAACAGACAATGGCCGAAATACGCGACATCATCGTGGGCCCGCCTGGTGAAACTCTATATACGACAGTCAAACAGGCTCTTCTTCACCGACCCGTCCCGCCTAAGCATTGGCGCATTCAGCAACTTCTGTGCAACGAAGAGCTCGGGGACCGCCGTCCCACACAGTTTCTACGTCACCTGCAGCACCTGCTTGGGGACCAGCCGGACGGCTTGGAAACATCCATACTACGTGAGTTGTTTCTACAGCGTCTTCCACCTACCATGCGAATAGCTCTTGTCCCAGCTCAGGATAAGCTGCTGTAGGAGCTGGCAGAAATGGCCCATGACATGATGGACGTTGCTCCGGCCGTCATAAACGCTGCCCACACCTCTCCGATTTCCGAAGCAGATTCCATTCGAAAAACGGTAATAGATCTAGCAGCTGAGGTC